ATAATCATTGAAGGAGACAATCTAAATATCATGAAGATGATTCAAGACTCAATCACCTTGAAGACCAGCAAAGGTACCAAACTGGACCTTTCTTTCTTACATGTTTTCAATAAAGTGGTTTTTCTTTTTGCACGTAGAGAACGTAATAGATCGGTAGATTTTTGTGCCAAGCATGCTTTGTTAGGAGATTTCTTTTGGGATTCTTTCATTGAATCCAATCTTCCTGCAAGTTTCGTTTACTTGTTCACGAAAGATATAACTTTGTAAGTTTCTTTGTTTTCTAGTTTAATGCAATTGCATCAAAAAAAGAAGAAGAAGAGGGAGTCTTCAAGAAGTGGATGTAGGTCGTGTTTGATCAAACCACTATAAATCTTATGTCTTTTATTTTTAGCATTTATTTTTTATAATTTTGTTATAGTGGTTAAAAAGCTTTTTCAAAAAGATAATCATTTTTGGAAATTAATTAAAATAGTTTTCTAACAAAAATCCAAGAGAATTTTTTTAAAAAAATTTCTAATTCATCCTCTCTTTTGGTTAGCCTTAGGACAATAGCTTAGGTTTAATAACCTATATAGAATCAACAAGTGGTATAACTTTGTTTCAAGACTATAAATTTAGACTAATTTTTAAAAAATGAGAATGGATACTTTTGGAAACTAAAACACACCTGAAGGATATTTGATCACTAAACCTCCATTATTTGACAATATCCCTTTCGATTTTCAGAAAATATACATGTCTACATTTCCACAACCACTTGATTATCACATGTGGATTTTAGTTCAAGAAGGGTATAATTGGCCAACTAGACTAATATATTGCATTAGAGTTGAAACACCATTTGTTGACTGGACTGTAAAAGAACGTGACATAGTACAACTAAATGCAAAAATTTAAATAGTTTGTTTTATGCTCCTAAGTCAGAAGATTACATACGAGTTTTCACTTGCAAAAGTGGAAAGGACATTTGGGATAGGCTTTGTATTACTTATGAAGGTACTAATAAAATAAATCAATCTAGATTTAATATTTTGTTACATGATTATAAATTATTTTGCATGAAACCCAATGAATCCATTTCTAAAATGTATATTAAAATTTACGCAAATAGTCACTTCTTTGCATGCATTAGGTAGGGAACTAATGAATGCTGAAAAGTTCAATAAAATTCTTTGTTGTTTGCCCACTGCTTATGTTGCTAAAATAATTACAATTATGTAGTCTAAGGATTTAAATGTTTACTCTATTGATATTCTTCTTGGATCACTAATTGCTTATGAGCAAGGAGTGAGTCAAAGGAAGATTAATGTGGGAGAACAGAGAAAGGAGAATAACATAGCACTGAAAAAGTATGATTCAGAAAGTGGTCAATCTCAACCTAAGGATGAGGATGACGTTGCCCTGATGACATGACAATTCAATAGTTTTCTTAAAAGGAAACATAAGAGGTGCCATTAGTTGAACAAAGGTAAGTTCCACAAAAATGTTAAGATTTCTAATGATGTGATTTGCTATGAATTTAGAAAACATAGACATATAAAATTAGAATGCCCAAATCTAAAAGCCACTCCTAGCAAGGAGAAGGTAGAGGATAAAGAAAATGTGAAGAAAGGTAAGAAAAGATTTAAGAGTGCTTTTTGGGAAAACTTAGCTTCGGATTTGTCAAAAATAGAAAAGGAAGAGGATGTCACTAACCTGTGTTTAATGGATGATAATCTTCATCAGTCAGATCAAGAAGAGGTATGTGACTTAACCTATGAAGATTGCTAGAAGTTTTTGAAAGATTATTTGATGCATATAGAAAACTTAAGAAAATGCAAGCAAGGCTAAACCTAAAATTGCAAGAGTTACAAAAAGAGCGTGACTTCCTTAGGAAAAATCATGCATAGTTAGACAATAACCACATAAACATATTAGATGAATTTGATGATTTGAATAAGAAAAATGAATTATTAAAGTTGTCATATGCTAAATTTGAAAAAGAATTCAAAGATTTTAGGTATGAAATTAGTGAAGTATTAGCCAGCTATGTGATAAAGGGTATAATGTTAAATTGTTTCCCACTAGCTGTATATTAAGCCTAAATGAAAATGATATATTGTTTGGAATCAGGGTAAACAATATTTATATGCCATATTTTAACAGTATTAAAACTCCTAATGCTTTTTATTTAAAAATAATTTATGATAAGTCATGGTTATGGCATAGGAGACTTTGTCATACTAACATGAAAAACCTTAAGAAATTTACCCAAAAGGATTTGGTTAGAGGTATATCAAAAAAAGACTTTACTAAGGGTCACCTTTGTGATGCATGTCAACTAGGAAAATAGGTGAAGCCCTCATTTCATTCCAATAATGATCTAAAGAATAGCAAACCATTGTTGATTATTCATATCGATCTTTTTAGACTGGTTAGCACTATAAGTCTAGGAGAGAAGATATACAGATTTGTGATAATAGATGATTTCTCAAGATTCATGTGTGTCAAAATTTTATTTCATAAGAATAATGTTGCAACCCAAGACCCCGAGTTTGAGATTTTGATGATGCCAAATAATGAGTGTTTTGGAACAACTTTTCTTTGAATATTATTTTATTTGCTATTGTCCTTGAGTACTAACATTTCAGGAAGATCACAAGTGACTCAGGACGAAAGGAAGACTCAAGAACGGGTAGATTAGTAGTATGAGTCAGATATTATATTTTTTTATTTATTGTATTTTTATTTTCTTGAGTCTGGACACAAAATGTATAAGAGTAAAAGCAACCATGCACACACACAGGGGGAGAGTTTGTTTTTTAAATGCAAAATGTATTAGAATTTCTTCTCTGGAGATCGTACTGTACGATTTCAATTCGTACCGTACGATTCTAGCTATTTGGACGATTCTGTGAATAGATCGTACTGTATGAATATCTTCGTACTGTACGATATGTTCAGATCCAAAACCTTAGCCGTACTTTAGTTTAAGTAAGTGATTTTTCAACATTCGTACTGTACGAACATTTTTTGTACTGTACGATCTATTTTAAATACTTACTTAAATTAACCCGTAATTAGTATATAAAAGCCAGACCTAATTAAATTTTGAACATTGTACTATACGAACCAGATCGTACCATACGATGAATAGAGATGAAGTTTGATCGTCCCGGATATCGTCCTGGAAGATCTCTTGGTTTTTGTTGTTGAGTCTAGTAATTAGGTTGTTAAGCCTAAGTTAATGTCCCAAAGGCTACCAAGAGGGGGGGTGAATTGGTAGTTTAAAAATTTTAAGCCCTCTTTTAAAATTATGTTGAACCGAAATAAAAATTGTTTCTTTTAAATTTTGTAGAAAAAGTTTTTCAACCATAGAGCTTTTAAGACTAAGAATTAAAATGCGGAAACGTAAAAACAGTAAAGTAAATGACACTAGATTTATAGTGGTTTGGTCTAAAACCAGACCTACATCCACTCCCAGAGGCACCCTCTGAGTATTGCACTAATACCAATAGTGACTCTCCTTTTGCACCC